CATACTGTAGGTGGAAGCCGTTACAACCATTTGGATGACAATCAGACAAAAGTTGGCTGGAATGACTCTAGATTCTGTCTACCATAAATGGTATGTTGGGATCATTTAAGACAGGAAAGGTTTAGGTGAAAAATTATTTTGTAAAGTCTTTTCGCATCATAAATTGTTGGCTATTTGAGATTTATGTTAGTAGAAATATGTAAATGAACAATTATAGATGTTTGACTTTTGGCAAACCAAACAAGACACATTGTATTGTTGTAGTTTTTAACACTTTTTCAATGTAAGCAGATGAAAAACTTGAATGTAGGAGGTGAAATATCCAAGATATACATATTAAAAACACTTAATTGTAATTGCAAGCTTTCTAAAATAGCTTAATTTATACAGCCTCTTATAAACTCTAACATACACAGAGCACATTCTATTTAAAACTCCTTAGGGCACAAAAATGCCCAGGGGACAAGACAGGGGGCAGGAGGTTGGGGTTTAAGCCTGAGGAAAAGGGTCTTTTCTTGGAAATACAAGAGAAAGAATCTGGAGCATAAATACAGTCCACAGAGATTTCTGAGCCGAAGATGGTGGATTAGTGTGGGAGGTCCTAATTTTGCATCTGTGGAGGTATGTTTCCTTTCAAAGGGCTTGGACAGAATGCTCACAGAGTAGAGAGGGTCCTAGTGGCCCCCAGGGGAGCTTTGAATGAGAACCATGCAAAGCCTCATGGAGACATTAACACACAGACACACATAGACACAAATATGTGAAAAAAATCCTTCCACATACAATTTATCCAGTTCTCCCAGGGCTCTAATGCAGATAAGCTTAATGAGCCTCACGAGGTGCTGAAAAGGCTTTGCTGTCTGGGGTCAAAAGTCAAAATACTCTCGTGCATAACTAAAAGAGCCTCTCAGGGGTCATGCAATGTTTATGTGGAAATCCCACCTAAAGTGTGATCAATTATGCATCGCTTTGGCTTAGTGGGGGAACATGATGATAGGCTTGAATCCTTGTGTTCATTCCAGATGTTAGGTGGATTAGGTTGTCTGCAAAGGATTATTTGTCCAGAGATATTTTTATGTGGTTTGGAGGACATTTAAACTGGATCTCATTTAAGCTACTTATAAAACTTTTTAAGACTCTTCAAATCATCATGTCAAAAATGCTACCCCACAAGAAAAGCTAAAAGATAATGGGGAAAAAAGTACAGTGACATGTTGCCATGGTGTGTGGATGATGAATGTGATATATGATTCATTATTATGGTATGAGGGTTTACTTACTAAAAGCATCTACAGTATATAGCATGACCCCAGGACAATCTTGGAAACATTCCCACACCAAATTATAATTCTTCATTTTGGAAGTTCTATAAGAAATCTCATCGCAAGTCTAAAGTTCTGTGCTTGTTTTGTGAAATTAGAACAAAGGCAAAATAATCGTAGTTTAGTTTGCATGTTTTTTCAACTTAATGTTAGTAACATCAATTTATGTTAGATTTTGTGTTGCCCACATAACATTGTACCATGTTGACCCCGCCCCTGTGGAGAACCCTGCGCCTGCCTGTTCGTGAGGTTGTGGACTTCCAATTTTTTGTAACTTGGCGCAAACTGCGCACAGCAGCCTCATTCCAAACTGGTTTATTTAAAGTTGCCCTCCCTCAACAAGTTTGACATCAAATGGCCTAGAAACTACAAGCATCATAGTTTTGTTGAATGCTATATTGTTATTGTGTATTCGTTGAATGAAAACCGTATACACAAAATACTGCCACAGGTTGAGTGGTGATTTACAATGTACAATTTGGGGGTACAAAAAAGGACTAGGTTTCTTTTTCAATCAACCTACAGGCTGAATATAGTCTAAAACAACAAGCAACAATATTTAGCTTCTTTTTTTTTTATTTGTTCTTTAAATTCAAAGAAATGTTCCTGCACACTGTATTGCTCTCATCAGTCTGATGAAGGTTATAACTGCCAAAACATAACATCAATAAATCCTAGACTTAAAGCAGGCATGCCCAAAGTTGGTCCTTGAGGGCTGCTGTCCTGTATGTTTTAGAGGTTTTGTGTTTTCTATTAATAGTTTGTTACCTATCAGAATAGGATTTGCTGAAGCAGCAAAGTCTCTAGGACATCGGCCCTGGAGGACCGACTTTGAGCATCTTACCCGGAGTGAGGAGAAACAAAACTGGACTGGTATTCATTTAAAACCCCTCTTTTCAATGATCTGAGGTTTCCATTCATTTTCATAATCAAGGTTACAGAGACTGGAGAGTGAAATTTGGGCACAAAATCTAGACATATCTGTATTGTCCTTTTAATTCAGAATGTGTTGTGATTGTGTTCTCTTTGCTCACCTGATTGATCAATATTATGTCAACTGCACAATTGACTTGCACTACTTTTTCTGGCAGTTCGAAAACTTATATCTAAAAATACAACACCAATATAACACATATCTCATATATATATATATATATATATATATATATATATATATATATATATATNTATATATATATATATATATATACATATATATATATATATATATATATATATATATATATATATATATATATATATATATATAGCAGTGTTTTTTGCAGCGGGACATGTAGGAATGATGACAGTGAGAAGGGCCTTGCTGGGGCATTACAAACATTTTTGGAAAGCTTCAGAAAAGGTTTGATTTATCAGCTTAAAAAAACGTCACAATTTGCAGCTGTGATTGGCTTAAAGCGTTTTATGGAAGGCGGGTACTAGCTGGCATGTCACCCAATCAGCTCGAAGTGTTGTACAAAACGTCCCTCCTTTTCGAGGACAGACTGAAGTGCAGCCATCCCAAACTGATAACGTAGAAATCAACTCAGTTCTATGCATATCAATCTAGCTACTGTCAGGTTAGTCATCACAGCCAATTGCCATCCGATATTGGAGTACTTGATGCTTATGCTTGTTTCTAAATTTTTTGAGGCTTTATTGTAACAGTGAGACTTGGCACTACCCTTTGCCTGGAACACCTCGCAAGGTGTCCAGAAAAGATGTCTCAGCCACCTTAACTGACTCCTCCCTTAGTGCATAATATTGCACATAATTATTAGAAGCTTGTGTGAAAAATAGTCAGTCAGGCTACAACAGATATCATTACACCATAAACAACAACATTTCAAGAAACATGCACTTAAAATTTCCATGAATGGGCCTTATCCTTAAAAGGTTTACATGTAATAAAACAAGTACAAACTTGCTTGCACCTGCAGAACAGATCTTCCAAAAATCTGAAAAGGGATTTGTGTGTATGAAACAAACAAATTTATGACTGAGGTTTATATAAATGATAAATAAAACCTGAAAGCGATTGCCCGAGCTGTTTCTGTATCTATATTTAGTATGTGTGAATGTCTGCTTAAAACATATTCAAACATTCTGAGGCAATGTTTGACACAAAGAACGGATTTGTAAGGTCACAGAAGATGTCATCAGAGTGTGTTCATGTAAAGATATTTTTAACTTTTGCTTGTAGCAAATTAAGGTATGATGTACTATATATAATGTTTATCATTATCATTGTAGTCATTAGTTTTTAATTATCATCATTACCTGATTCTCCAGTGTTTATAACTTCATCTTTCTTTTAAGTCACTCTCCAACTGCCAGGAGCATATGCAATTTGTTTTTTTAAATGTGGCAGAGCCAAACCGGTTCACTAGTCTTATCAGTCAGAAGAAAAAATCCTACCACCTCCAACACACGCACTTATTTCTCACAGAATTTCCTTTTTTCTTTTTCTTCCCCAAGCAATATTACAGTCTTTGTTTGGATTCTTTGAAGATCAGGCATAAGGAATTACGTAAATGTATACAATTCGAGTCTAACTATCTAAAATGTGTATTTTTTTCTTGTTTTATGATTTTTAAAGATGTTCCAATTGCTTCTCTGCTCATTTCTCCCATTTTCAAATAATTTTATAAAATCATTATTTTTGCCCAAAGTTATTATACCTCAACACCTTCTTCACATATACAGTCATCCAGAGAGTTAGTGTACCCCATAAATATTCTGTAAAGAGTGTAGATAATAATAGAAAGACGAGTGGAGACCATAAGCTCGTCCGACAGCATAATCTACATTGCCCAAAATACTGATTCTTTGACCTTAGCTGTTCACCCACTATTGTGCAACGCTTCTAATCTCATCATTTCAGTTAATTCAGCTTTAATCTGAGCTAAGTAGAACTGCAAATGCCAAATGTCCAGTAAGGCGACATACACAAATGTGTCTCCCTCAGATAAGCAGCTTTTTCCGTGACATGTCATAGTATTATGTAAAATGAGTTTGGAAAAGATTCAGCCTGACCTTGGCCTGTAGGGACTTAAAAAAAAAAATTATGTTTACTTGTTGCCTTATTTAGAGAATTGAACTGTGCTAGACATTTTTGGCAGTACTAGATATTCACAAAATCCTGTTGCATGCAAAGAAAGATTTTGGGAGTTTTAAATGTTGAGACCAATTGATACATCGCCAGCCATTGGGATGGAGTCTACTAAGAAGACAGGAAGCATTCAGGAAAGCCCAGGCTCATCAATAATGAAGGTCTGTCACCAATGTTCTGGGATTCTTTGATTTACTATATTTAGATTGAATGTCAACACTCAGACATATGAAATGAAAAATAGGAGAAAAGGAGTAGAAGGAAATCTTCTGTTTAAGGGGAACTCATTTAAGGAGTGCTGAAAGAATGTGTCTGTTAGAGCTTTTGACATGTATTACAAAAAGTTGAAGAGCTCAATTGCACATAGATGCAAAAGTTTGCTGGATTTCAGCCCTTTAGTTCTACTTATCATTACTTCCTTTAATTGATGTTTAAAAAAGGAAAATTGGGCAATTCACCTTAAATTGTTATCTACCAAACAGACAATGCAATAATGTGTTATGAAAATAGGTGCGTCACAGGTCAACTAAGTTTTTGCTTTCTGCTCAAGAGTTCTGAGATCTTACCTTTTGAAGCCATTGAGTGTTATTCTCCATGGTGCTTTCCAGAGTCTCCAGCTTCTGCTGCTGCCATGAAGGCCTTTTCTCTTGGTTTAGACTGTCCTTGGAATGGCTCTTGTTTGGCTCATCCTCTGGTGGTGAGTCTCGCTGCAGGGTATTTGTTACCTGGAAATCTTTTAAGGGCTTACAATGCTCCACCTCGGGAAGGATGAAGGTGTATGTGCAGGCGCCGTGCTGCACGATGTGCTGCTGACGCTGGGAGGCAATCACTGTAGTCAGCAGGTAGGCCAGGTAGACAAGAGTCAGAGACAGGAGGTGACCCATGTCACAAAAGAAGGGTAAATGGAAGCAGGAATTGGGAAGTTTCAATACGTGGTCAGGTGGTTAAGTTAGTCAACCCTTCTTTCTTGTATTTTTTTTTATTAAAATTTGTTCTACACTTTGGTATATTCTCTCTTCTCTTTTACCTTCTTCTGATTTCAAATCCTGTTGCACCAGCTTCTATTTTATAACTTTTACTTCTCCTTATCTGGCCAGTCCTCTTTCCTTTTGCATCCAGAGACTTCTTGGGATAAATTGATCCTCCTGTTTTTTGAGTGAAGGCAGAAAGAAAACATAAACAGAGGATTGCTCCATGTAGTAACTCCAGTACTCAGCCAGCACATTTATGTCTGAGCAGAAAGCCAAGAGCAAACTCCAAACATTGATCACTCTTCTTCTCTCAGAGAAGTCCTTTGAAGCCGCTGGAGTCCTGGCGCTGATCTTAGAGGAAACGAAAGAGCTGAGGTATTGTGGTGAGTGGCCTGCTTAAGGATGTTGGCTGTAGTGGTAAAGCCCTTAAAGAACAAGGAAAGAGGAAAGGAGAGAGGGCTTTGCCTCTCTACATTCAAAAAAAACACACACACACGATCACACACAACGCCTATGCTCATGATAACTCAACGTCCCTTCCCTCTTGTACTTTCTCCCTCCCTTTTATGCTACTCCTGTTCGGGGGGGTTAGGAGAGGAAGCTTCAAAATTACACTCACCGCAAGAGAAAAAAGTGGGAACTTTCTGTGAAAACTGTCTCCTCCTTCTTGGTCTCTGCCACACATTTTATTCTGTCTCTGTGTCCCCTCTTAAGCTCAAGTGTAATGCAAAGGCAGGTCCATTATCAGAAACCGTACTTCATCAGCAGCTGATACAACATTCATAAAAGATACAGTATATGAAAAGTCAGGGTGAGCAACATTAGAATCTAATGTGTGTTGATAAACATCCTTGTTAGTTAAAAGAATACAGAGCAGCCACATTTTTACAGGCTCCAAAGGCTGCAAGGAGTTTCAGCCAAACTGATACAGTCTTTCCAACAGCCAATTTCAGGAATTTGTTTACTCAAAATCTATTTTTAAGATGATCTACTGCAGTATTGCTTCTGTGATCTGTACCATATTTTAGCTCAAAGGGAAACCTTTCTTTCTACATGTCCTTACTACTTTGATATGGGGGTGGGGGTGTTCCACTTTTTGTGACATTTGTGGCAACACCATCTTTGAGTAGTTTGCCGTATTGTGTGCAGAAATATCTAACCCAATTATCTTTTTCCAAAATTATTGTATACATTTTGCTGGTGAAGATTCTCAGTCATCCAGGTCATAGTCATTCCAAAGAAGTTACAAACAATCCACTAAACTTTTTTTCCAAGTTTGAAGGGGTTTTGCTTCCCATCCAGGAAGGGTTTTTGATTTGAAAAAACTTCCTTGATGATAAGCAAAAAGAAACTGCTGGACCTGCATTGGATGCTTTGAAGTCTCTTTCCAGAGGGCAGCAGGGAGAACAGTACATAGTTGGGTGTGGGGTGTCATTTATAATGTCACAGGCTTGGGACACGCAGCGCTGGGATGAAATGTCCTTAATGGAGGGAACAGGAGCACTGATGATCCTCTCTGCTGTTCTCACCTTCTTCCAGTCTGAGGCGCTGTAGTGTCATGCTCAGGGGGAAAGCAGCAGATATGGTACAGTATCCTCAGTGGAGCGGTTCTGTTGGTAGGCGAACTGGAATGGATCGAATGTTGGCAACAGAGTGCCTTTCAAAGCACTTCATCATGATAGGAGTCGACAGTGCGAGTGCGACAGGCCAGTAATCATTTAGTGAGGTGACCTGAGGCTTCTTAGGGACCGGAATCATGGTGACAGACTTGAAGCATGCTTGCACTACAGATCAGTCCAACAAGGTGTTAAAAATGTTTGTGAGGACACCAACCAGCTGATCTGCACACTCCTTGTACACCCGCCAAGGTGTATGTTATCAAACACCTTCAAACCAAGGAACGCCCTGGGGCGTTCCTTGGTTTGACCCTTCTCAGAGTTTTCCTCACTTCAGCTACATACAGGCTTAGTGCCTCCTTCCCCTGGTGTGGAACAGCTCTCACTGCTGGAGTGCTGTTTAGTGCCTCAAACCTGAAGTTGTTCAGTTCATTCAGGAAGACAGTTTTTGTTGTATAGGGCACAAAGTCAAAAGAAGGGTAACAAATATGGCTCTCTGGTTATAGAAGAACGGTTTAGTAGTTGTATTTTGGGATGAGAAAAAACAATAAAGCTAGCATTCCAGCTTGAGTAAGAACTTGGATTCATTTCAAAACAAAACTGTTTTCAGATTCATTTATTTGTGAAAGTAGATATTCTTCAGAGTTTTTTCAAACAGTGCTTTCAGCACTCCAGACCTGATAAACCAAAACATGTAGTCACAGGAACATGTGGTGGAGGTCTTTCTTTGCTAAATCTTTAACTTACACCTCCGGGAAAGGTGCAAGGGAAAGGTAAATTGGCATTGTTCAGGACCTCACTTGCAGATCAAGCTCAATTGGTCTGCAGTTAGTAAGTCATTGGTTCTGCTTTGCAGCAGCTAGAGACAAAGTTAAAGGAACACTTGCTGTGATGAAAGTTATCATGCTGAAGAGAGAAGCGTTTATTTTTTTGCCTTCTCCATAGACTCCACAAACAACTAACAGGTAAGTGGGAGAGGGCAATGGATACTGTGTTTTCAGAAAGAAAAACTGGCATGTGACAAATATTCCATTTGTCTCAAGGAACCTCTAAAAAGTGTCAGGAAATTCTAAAAAGGTAAGACAGGGCTACCCGAACATTTGTGTGTGTTTTGTGGGAAACTGCAGATAAGGCTGCAAGGAAGTATTAAGTAGTGGAATAAACATTCTGAAGTTGTTTTTAAATGTGATCACTAACAGTGAGGAGCCAGATTACTTCCCTTTCTTTACCATTTGCTGAGGCTGGTTAGAAGCCTTCTCCTGACAAGTCATTTGTATGAAAACAAGATTTATAGAATGATGTTAAATGATTAAAACAAAAAGGAAGAGCATTGCTTTACCAATGACCAGCACATCACATTTGGCTCTCTGAATCTCTGAGTCTCTGAAAGGACTCTTTAGTGTTCAGCACAAATACTCACACTAGCCACTAGAGAACTTTTATTTTATTTTTTTACTGATCTTAAGCAGAGAATAAGCCAACAGGATCAATGTCCTAACATACTTTTCAGCAAGGCTTTAAAGTTTTTTCACATATAATATTATTTGAACCTTTAGATTTTTTTGAAAGTGTCCCATTCAGTGATATTTTTGTGCCATGATCCATAGCTCAAACTGAAACCAACAGCTACTGTACAGTAGTTGATATGAGGAGCACTTCCATCCAATTGTAGACAACAATTCCCTATGAATGTTTGACATCAGTTTATAGGGACAATAGCAGTCTCAAACATTATGAAGTATTATATTCACTCTTTCTGATGTCACTTATTAAATTAGACATGTGACATACAGACTGATTCAATTTAAGGGAAAGTGTTTACATACTGGAATATTTCATTATGAATATCTTGCATTGAAGCCAAATACTTAAACTACACTATACCATAGAGAGATTAAATATAGAAATGCAACATAAATCTATATGCTCTAAGATCTGCACATGTTACACTATTAGTCTCCACTGTTCATTTTTTTATTTGAGAAAAATAAGTTATTCCTTATTTTTTTCTGTTAAATGGAATGTGAATTTTAAGTTGCTTAGACATTTAGTCTAGCTTCTCTATCAGCTTGATATTTGCCTTTAACTAGTATTTATAAAACATGGGTAAAATAAATAATAATAAATAAATAGCAAACAGTATCAGTTTGGTATTGACATTATTTCTAAACTTATAACTTAACTTCTCTTTGCTGCATAACTTGTTAGTCATTCCACCCACTGTGCCTCCATCCATTCCTGCCTCTTACACAAATATTCATATCATTGCTATTTTCTAATGCCAATAAACACCCACCTAACCTTATTTTATGCTGTGCTACAATAAGAACAAATGTGTACACACACAATACAATGTGCGGAGTGTTGGCCTAGTGATAAGGGCAGTGCGCTTGTGCTCTGAGAAGGTTGCGAGTACCTGGTTCAATCCCTCCAGCCTCCACTCTGGGTTCCTGAGCAAGACCCTTGACTAGGTTTGCCAACTCCCTGGAAAAAAAAAAAAAGGGACACCTCAGCTGACCTGATTGCCTTTACCCCTCCTGGCGTGCTAATTTATTTTAGCCTTAACTATTTGACTCAAATCTGCATTGAATTAGATGTATATTTGAAAGTGACATGAACACATGGAAAACAAATTTGCTTAACTTCAAACTGTAAAAAGAATATAAAACAATAAATAAATAGTGCCCATTTTTGGTTCAACAGCAAACTTGTAAACATTTTTGTACCTTAAATGCAATGACTGTAGGCTAGCTCAATGCCACATTATGTAGCGATAGCCTATTTTTTCCACTTGTATCTGCTGTGAGGTCTTGCAGCAGTGAGGAGTTGTTTGTCTTTGTGTGCTGCTGCTCTGTTGTCTCCCGCTATCTTCTCCGTGAGCAACACTTGGCCCGACCAATGGGATGAGGGTATTCTTGATCGTTACATATATGTTGTCAGCTTATTGGTCACAATGCAGGACAGGGCCCGGGAACAAGTTTACCGTAAGTTTTGTACCTAATGTGCCCTTGTTCTTAATTTTTTATTAGCTTTTTACTGACTATTTTTTAACTCTCACAGTAATACAGGAAAAAGTATGTTCCTTTTCCACTAGATAGGGGACAGATACTTTTATTTCTAAACACGGAACGATTCCATTTTTAAAGGAATGATTGGCAATCCTACCCTTAACCTCACACTGCACCCAGGGGACTGCACGATAGTAGCCTACTACTCCCCAAGGGGATGGGTTAAATGCAGAGAGTTCATTTAGTTGCTTTGTACCTCTGACAATGTAATGACAATAAATTTGAATTCTATTCTACAGTGCAGGTCATCAGCCTAGCCATACTGCAAATGCACAGAATAATGACAGGGCACTTTACTCAAAGTCATTTTTAATAAGCCCATTGTCAATTAAACAGTGATGCAACTATGCCCAGGTATGAATTACTAAGAAAGGAAGTTGCTCCAGCACATCTGTCATGATTCCTGTTACTTTCAACATCAACCTATTTTTTCATCCTTTTGCTTTCTATGCTGCAAAATTTTCACTATGAAAGTCTTAATCTTGTATATGCTTATTCATGCACTCCTTGCCCACATCTCACAAACATGATGAACATACCATATTGCCTCTGTTGTGTAGATGCCTAATGGCCCTGAAGCCTAAAAGCCCAGTTTGTGGCTGCATCACCCAGCATACCAATGACTCAGATCTGCTGCTTGCTAGTTGCTCGCATAGAACATGGATATCCATCCCTGCCTGCATGCACTGGAAACATGACGCCCACCTGTCAGACACAGACCGATTGTTTTTCATATAGAAATCTACTTGTTCTTATATAGACGATGGGTTGTGAGTGTGCTGTGATCTGTTGAAAATACCAAGAATATAACTATTTCACTTATCTTCTTCT